TAGGTAGGAAATCCCGCCCACCTACTTTAAAAACGAACATATATTATCCACAGGGACTTGTGAAGCTTTTTGCCATTGTGTATATTGTTATTTATAATTGAAGATATACTTAATATTTTATAATTTTATAATTATAATATTTTATTATAATATTTTATAATTTTAAGTATATTTAACATTTAAAACAGATACAGATTACAGGTAGTAATAAGTAATATTATTATGTGAAATAATATTGTAATAAAAGCGATTTTTTTTTTGCCATTAATTAGTTCGACCATATTTCTAAGAACAATATAAATAAATAATAAAATATCCTTATATATATATATAGGCTGACTTAACGTTTCCGTTCAGAATTTTTTTTGGTATACAATGATTTATAATTAAATTCAAACTCAACACATCCATTATTACAGTTCCTTAATCAACGGCGATTTCACCACTCAACACCTAATATTACCTAAACAACAGAGCGACTACCCCGTTAAGGCCACTATTTTTGGGTATATAAAGGTATACAAAAGAGTGAACTATACTAAATTTGAAATTCATATTTAATAAAGAATTAAAATTTTCAAATAATTTGTTTTATCTAAATTATAAACGTTATTGTAGGTTAAATTAAAATCGTAATACTTACATAATTACACTTTTAATTAAATAATATTGTTTACAGTTAAAATATTCGGAAAATATTTGTCAAAACTTCCAATAATTTATTTTAACTGTTTAATGGATATATTAATTTATGTATGGTTAATTAACTGTGTGCAATTTTGGTACCTACTATTAAATATTTCAACTGAAATAATTTATCTTATTTGACGCAATATCACTAATAATTAATATCATACATAAACTATTAAACTCATGTTAATAATTAAGCTAAAATATTATTATGTGTTAACATATTTTTAGTACTAATCTAAAAATGTCCTAAACATACACCTTTTACTTTTGAACTTATTTTTTATCAATATCATAATCTGGCAATAATTTCGTAGGTATCTATTTATAATACGTTTTTCATTCCTTTATTAAAATGTGCATTCAATTCAAATAGAGTTAAATAAAAATTTATCTATTGAGTAATAAAAGTGGTGACCCAAAAGTGTAGCGATACCTTAGGTATTATAATTTCAGTTAATTACCCTTTGTTCGTGTTATGTTAAGTAGGAGGTATAAGGGTTTATATACCTATACGGTTTCAAAATATTATATTGCGGGTATGTTATGATTTCGGTTTCGTTCGTGTCAGTGGTCATTTTACTATGACCTTCAGATTAATTTTTACATTTTTATAAGAGATCTTGAGTTGTTCATATATATTTTCACATGAGACCAAGAGCGGTCAAGGACTCCACGTGATTTTAGTTGGTTAGAAAAAAGTATGTATAACATAAAATAACGAACGCTTAATGATATAATGTTAAAATACAGTTTAAAATTAATTTATTACTATTTAGTTATTTTGTATTTGAATAGTACACTTAAAAATAAAATAAAACAGTATAACAGTAATATATACTTTTTTTTTTTTTTTTTTAACAGGAGGGGGAAGTCACCCAGTGGCGGCACCCTGTGAAATATATACTTAAAGATGAATAATAGGTATATTTTTTTTAATTTTTTTTTTTAATTGATCTTTTAAAGCCCGGCGACTATGGCCATTAGCTTGATTGTAGGGTTTATGATTGTAGGTAGTAGGGTTTGAAATTGTAGGGTTATTACACGTGTGTGTTGTGTTTGGCAGAATTTCTATTGGGGCACCAGTAGGTTTCTGCCATGCCCCGGAGTGGGGGATGGCGGCACTTGTTCTCCGGACACCGTGACTTGCCCGGAGAAAAATGCCGCCCAGTGGTCGAGAGAATCAAACCCGAGACCGCCAGCGCCGCAGACGACGTGTTCGACCGCTCGGCCACCTCGTCCCCCATATAATAGGTATAATATGTGCGTATTAATGTATTATAGTTATGATAAATTGTTCAAATACTTAAAATACTATTTGAATGCATCAGTTAGAAACTAAAATTATTTTATTGTTAAAACAAAACTATAAGAGCATCAATAAAAGCTCGACAAAACCCACAAAAATGATTTTATAGTAATTAATAACTGTAATAATAAGTGAAATTGGTCTTTAATAAAATTACCTTAACATCCTAATAATTATAATATTAGGGAACCGACGCGCGACGTTGTTGCATTAGCAAATTTTCTTCTACTGTTCAAAATGTCCAATTTATTGTGAAGTAAACTTTAAATTCATTTCATGACTTAATTTAAGAAGTAATTTAAATTTAAAACTTTTAATGTCATTTTTATTAAATTTTTGCAATTTTGTTGAGTTTACTCGTTTATTAAACATCTTAACTATTTTTCAATGTTGTTCAAAGTAATTTTACATTGGTTTTTACTTATTGGATCCAAATTGGAGAACGTTTGAATATGAAAATTTAAGCAAACAGTTTAGTCAAATGAAATGTTTAAAGTAGTAGTTTAGATTGTAAAAATAAAATAAAAATAGATTGAAGAATTTAAATATTAGGTAAGTACTTAAGAAAAAACAAAGATATAAAAATAAATGTGAAATTATTTTTTATTAAATAAAAAAATATAATAATACATTTTTATTATTCGAAGTATTCTGTGAATTGTAAAGTAAAAAAAATTTATAATATTAAGCAGTTTTTCTTTTTTAGTGAATTTTTTGGTATTTTTCAGTGCAATACTGCAATCAATTTTACTAGTTTTTTACTACTAAAACAACTGTATCCTAATATTAACCATTAAAATGACAATATCTTGTTAAGTTTTTATAGAATTTTGAGATGGGAAAATACTTCTATCTAGTCTTAATCAGTGACCAGAATTAACCAGAATAATTGTCTGTCTAATATTTTTTTTTATCTTGTCTTAAGAATTCAAGTCTTTTATAGTCTGTAGGTGAAATCATGGGTTTTAAAAATGTTATATGAAACATTCTTCAATTATTAGGTAGCAGGTACCTATCTTGTCTTAATATTACATATAATGACATATTTGTATTACCTTTAAGTTCTAAGGTACTTGAATGCGTGTTTAGAAGTCATCTTTTAGAACTTGTGTCTATCTATGACATTTTTAAATGGTAACAAATAAATATATATTGATAAAATACTATATACCTAATTAATTTATATCAAAGCAAAAAATGTTTTCTTAATTAATTAGAAATTAAACTAAAACGTTTTGATCACAAACATAGTGTTATTAGGAAAGATATTCAGTGCCTTAAAACCACTATAAGATTTGTAAGTATTATATAATTATTTACAATGTGCTAATACCATAGTATTATATTATTATCGATGGTCCAACACCAACACTCATTGATACTTCGTATAAAATAATTTTGAACCCTGACATATTTTCCTTTTATTAAAGCCAGACGTACGGCTATTTTCCACGATCTCCAGTTCATTTTCACTACTTCAAATCCATTCAATATAGACACGATGCACTCGAACAATTTTGATGTTTAAAAGGTGTACTGAACGTTAATAGTAATATATAAATTGTATCGGAAAAAAATTAACGTGTATTAATATGATATAAGTTGTCCGTTTTTCTTCATTGTAGCAACTTAGTAAATATACATACCGATACCGTTACTTATAGGTATAATTTATAGAGTAGGTCGAGAGTATACATTATATGTGCGCGTATATTATAATAATATGACTGAAGTATAGCTTGACTGATTTATTACTGCAGTATTTTTTTCCCTGTATCCTCCCGCAAAAAAAAAAACTTATTCTTTGTACTAATTCTTTGTGTGCATGTGTGTGTGTGAGCGTGCGTGTGTGTTTTAATACCTTTAGCAGCGGTGTGGCCCTCCACACCAAAAAACATCATATCCACGCGACAACGACCGGAAGCGCACCTCTCCGCCGACGAACCCTTGCAAAAACAATACGCAATAATCATATTTTAATAAATATACGGCGCGGCGTTTGCATGTCGGTGAAAATAATAATTAGAATAATAGTAATAAGTATGGTGTTATTATTGCCATCAAACGGCGGCGAGTATATATATATATATATATATATATATATATAGTATATTATGTATAACAGGTACACACCACCGATGTAGGTGTACCATCCTGCCTTCACCCCCAATACCGCCTCACGGTTCGGATCGAGGAAAGGGTTGTTTTATGGGTGAGGTGGGTGGCGGGTGAGAGGTTATATAATAGGGGTTGGACGAGCGGTTCGGCGAGCTGTGTATAATTGCGGTCGTAAAATTGGCGAGAGCGAAGATGGTCAAGGGCTCGAGGTATATTCGCGTACATTGTACACTGTACACGTGTATATATATGATATAATAACGTAAACGTTGTCTTGACCACCGCGCCCCAGACCTTGACGCGACCGACCGTCTGTTATAAACCGCGATATTATCATACATATAAATTAAATAGCAATGCGGTGCGGGTCGTAATATTTACGCGCTAAGCAGTCGAAGACGGACTTCCGCGTGACACTGCCGTCGCGAAGCGTCTGAAAATACCACTGCTATAATATTATTATACCGACGTACGGTTATACCGTTTGAGTTTCGCAAACAATATTATACCATCGTTGTCGGTAGCGGTTACCTCGAAATTCGGACCTAGGTATACGACGCGTGGTGGGTACGTTTTCCCGAGTTTTATCGCCGGCGGCCGTGGTATTTTTCGTTCATCTATCAAGTACGACAATAAAAGATATAACAATATTATAAAGTTACAACCGTCGCGTTTGTAATCACTTCTTTCCCGCGGTCTGTTACACACACGCACACACAAATACCCGTAAGTCGTATATCGCGTACGATAATAATTATGTGATATACCTATTATACAATATCCACACCTCTCCTGCGTATATGTAATATATATTTCCCGTCGAGGTCATTGGCGTGGGCATTTTTATTTCCCGCCCGGCGCAGCCCTCTCGCACACCAATGGAATGGCAGTCGCGTTCACCGTGTTGCACTCGTCAATCGCCGAGCACGCCGAACAGGTATAATATTATTACGACGACGATATGATTGTAAAATTATTTTCTTACGTATTACTTTTATAGTAAATATTAAATTATAATCGTACACTCGCCGCGAGACCAACGCACCGTTTCGCTATTTAATAATCGAAAACGGACAGTTTAAATACGTTAATTTTTCTTCTGACGACGATAACGTACGCGCCCGCGACTGTATCGTCGATACGTGTAACAATGTTGTTTTTATTGTTAATATTACGACGACCAACAACTACACGTGTACGATGAAGTTTCCGTTCGAAATGCTGACAATTTCACGGTCGTTTAATTTCCACGACGGCTGTCGTGGTAGTATATTATAGTAAAGAAGGTGGCTCGATCGCGTTATGGAAACGTCTTGTAGATTTGTCTCTGAACCGCAATGTAATGACGTATGTAATCATTTGTGAACAAATAATATTCTTTAATGTTGTATGTGTATATAGTACGACTACGCAAAACCACGACTTTTCAATATTTCTTTTCATACATAATATAATATTAGTGATCAATGGTACCTAATAACCTAATACTAACGACGAGAGTCTTTAGTTCTAAAGACGAGTGTTTTTTAAATTATCACACATCAACGATAAAATATTTACGATTCACATATATAGGTACTTAGCAGTGGTAAGCAAAGAAAAAATGGTCAGGGGGGCTAAAGCCTTGGAGTACATCGTTTTAAAATGTTTATATGCTTAAATAATTATATTCGGTTTATTGAGCAGGGTAATTCTTGGTTGGGGAGGGGACCTTAGCCTCCAGAGAATTTTGTTACTGATTCGATAAATTATCTAGATATAGCAATGACAAACGATTTTGGTAAAATAAAAACGAATAACAATCTATTGGAAATGTAATGCAAAAAGTAAAAACTGTTTTTCAATTTGTGTCCACTTAACTGAAGATATTAACTGTTTTTTTTTACATTTAAGTTTTTTATTTGATGTTAAATTGCGTAACTAAAATATAAGTGACATGTGTAATTTTTTTAACTTACTTATTGTAGAATGCCAACTATGGTAAGAAATCTGGTGGTTGGAACTCTACAACTACCCCGACTGCTGGTTCGGGTTGGTCGAGACAATCTTCTATGAGTAGGAAGCAGTCAGTAGTTGATGCTAACGAGTTGACTTCAGCTACTTCAGGACTTAATATAACTAAATCATCTACAACTAGAGTTATAAGGATCATCAATAATTTCGATCACACAGTACAGGTTAGTGTTAAATTTTAATATTATTTAAATTCTATAAAGTATGATTGTTTTTATATAAGTGTTATTATTTAATTTTGTCCAAAGTCCTTCATCATAATTTTTAGTTGTTGATAATAAATGATTAAATATTTAAAAACAATTAACACCCGACAAAAAAAAATTAAAAACAAATATTTAAAACCTAAATTAAACTAACAATAACAAATATAGTATACGAGTTAAAAAAAACAATAAAATAAAAAGCCCAATTGCAAACAATGTTAATTCCATCGTATGAAAAGTTCTTAAATTTCAAAGCAATATCAAATCATTGCATTTAATAAACAATTCTAGTAAGAACTATATTTATTATAATAGTTTTAAATTTTAAAAGCCAACATTTTCGAGATATTTTACGTAGGTTCAACTATCTGAATTATTATAATTTAAATTATTAATATTATATGGAGTGTTAGTTATAAATTATAATACTCAAAACTTTAAAATAACAAATTGTATTAAAATAAACCTGAAAATATCTATCTTATTGTAAATAAACCATGTAATAAGGTTTAATCTAAGTATAGGTAAGCATCAATAAATTTATAATGAATTAAAAACCCTATCTTTTAAATTCAAAGTAATAATTTTAAAAGTAGTACACACATAAGTCGTTGTCTATCCTAAAATAGTATTTAGCACTATTCAAACATAAAATCCTTATAAACAATATTGTTCCATTATAGTTAGAATAATATAATATTAAAACTCCATTTTACTAGGCACATTTTTACTTTTTAGTTCATTAAAATAAAAATTTAATTAAAAAAAACATTACATTTATTTTAATCTTTCCAAATTACATAAATACTTAGCAAAACAATAAAAAATTATAAGTAAGATAATTAAATGTATAATAATTACAATAAAATAACATAATTTGTATGTTTATAATATAAAAATAATGAAACACATTTTGCATGGAAAATTTCAAATTAGCCTTTTATTAGGTATTTAATTAAATTTATCATTGTATATATCATTGTATAATATCATATTTCAATTTTAGTGATTCAATAAATTTAATAAGATAGAATTAGAAAACTACTAGAATTTATTATATCAGTACATCACCTTATATAGTTTACTGAAAAAAAAAACGATTGTTCACCAATATAGATTAATCTCTTGACCATCTGAATATTTAACATTAAAATAAAAACTAATAGCTTACGTACCTATGACTATATAAAAACTGTTTAGTTAAAAAATAAGTACCAAAAAAAAAAAAATAAGAAAATTAAGACTAATTTAATCAAAATATAATAGGTAAACGAATAATACGACCATTATAATATTATATTATATATTTTTTTAATTTTAACTAGCAATAATAAGTTATAGGTCGATTCGAAGTCCCAGTTGTACAACATAAAAGTTAATATCAAGTTTTTAAGTTATACAGAGTTAACATGTGACCTTGGAAAATAATTTTGATAAAAAATATAATTAGCTATACAACGATATTGAACTTTACCCTGCTTTATTGCAGTAAACATCTACTGTATAATATATTATTATTACAAAACTCCTATGCACGCATGTACCTGTTTTGCATAACCTGAACGCCTGCTAGTAATTTGTGAAAAATAACAATGATAATATCATAAAAATTAAATATAATATGAAGAAAACATATAATATCTAGGTATAGTAAATAATACTATGGTAATAAATAATAATAATATTTGTGTGGATATGTCTAGACTCTAGAACATAGACAGTATTTTCTGTTTTTTGTACAGCTTTCAACATTATTTTATATTTTAATTTATAAATATTCGTATAGTATGAGACGTAATGTAAGCAACAAAAAAAAAAAAATTAATAATATACATATTTTTAAAGTCTTCGTGAATTATAAAGTTAACACACCCGAGTTTCATATATTATTTTAAAATGTTTAAGTATGTTAAACAAAACTATAGTACCTACTTATAAAACATACGAACCCAATCATTGAACAAAAATTTTGCCTAAACATTTGTGAAAATTAATGACTTATAAGTAATTACTTATTAATAATTCGATACAACTCTAAATAAATAACATCGTATGTTCAAATCGATTCAAAATTTAATTTATTTAGCAAATATGCATTTTGGCTATTGTCATCATCAGTGCAAAACACAACATGAAACGTTTCTCGGAATGTTTGACATTTTCTATTAAAACAAATGTACGGTAATAAATTGAAGGAATTTACTGGTTTATTTTAAATGCGAAAATAAATCATCTTTTAATAATAGCAATAATACAGTTCTGCATTTGTTATAATAATAATATAATTTTTTGTTTAACATTTAAATTATTACAAATAACCAACTAGCACTGATCTTTTTCCATATTCAAAATACCTAAAATATATATTCCTAAAACTAATCTTTTTATGTATCTTACATGTTAACACTTTAGTGTCGAGTTCTACTTAATTTGCGAACCACCCAACCTTTCGAAGAGGTCATTGAGGATTTAGGACATGTGCTCAAAATGAACAATGCTAAACGCATGTTAACCGTGTCTAATCAAGAAGTAATAAATAGTTACTGTTCTGTTGAAACATTTGTTTTAATGGAAATAATTATTTAGGTTCGTAGTTTTTCACAACTGAGAAATGAATTTTCGGACGTTGACACATTTTACATTACGTCTGAGTCACGTGTACTATCACCGCCATTCAGAAGATCACGATCCAGAGGGGCATTAGCGGTTGAACCGATTATAAATACAGTTCCTACAAAGGCGGAGAAACAAAGGAGAGCAAGAAGCAAAAGCCGACCTCGTGCACTATACGCAGCCGATACAGATATTGTTAAAGTTCCTCCAGGTAAATATTTTGTTAACAAACTAACCTAATACAGTAATTTCCTAATAAAATGACAATTAATTTATAAATTTAAGATTATACAGTTTTGGACGTGATGAAAGAAGAACCAATACGCGTGCAGATAAGAGGAGCAAGAAAAACATTTTTTCCTCCAATGGTCCATTCTCCCTCAGATGATTCACCTCCAGATAAAAGATTAACTTTAAATTGGGTGTATCCTTTTATAACTTCATGTGAAGTCGAGGGGTACAAAATTAAAATTAAGTTTTAAGAATATCAATTAATAATACTCCATTTAAGTAAAAACAATTTCACAAATGTGTGAAAATTCAATTATTTCCATGCACCTAATAATGTTTTATGATTACGTTCGATAGTTATTTGAAAATTGCAAGATTTACTGAAACGTCGTGATTTAATTAGTTATCATATTTTAATTATCAATATAGGATTTTAACATTGATCCGATGTCAATTACTTTTGCAATATTATTTTATACATAATATTGGCCGTATCCTATATTTTTGTTTGAAAATCAAGTGAAAACTCTTTGGCCTTTGCTAGTACCATAATTAGTTATTTGGAGTACTGATTTAACTGAAACTGTGGCTAATATTTAATTAAAACATTGTTGATACCTATTATCATATTATGTATAAGTATTAAATAAATAAATAAATTTAAATTTTCCTTCACTTCGGACATTAAATAGTTACGGTTATCGAGGCGTCGATACGAGAAGGAACTTGTGGGTATTGCCTACCGGAGAACTTTTGTATTACGTTGCGGCTGTGGCCGTGCTTTATGATAGGGATGAAGAATCACAAAGGCATTATATCGGACACACTGAAGATATTCAATGGTACTAAAAACCACATGGAATATCTAAAAAATTATTATTTAAATATTATATTCCATCAGTTAAATTTTTAATTTTATTACAGTATGGACATACATCCTTCCAAGGAAATGGTTGCTTCGGCTCAAAAAGCTGGTAGAACACGAAAAACACAGGCTCACATTAGGATCTGGAGTCCTGAAACTCTGTATACTCTGTACATAGTTGGTAATGGCGAATTTGAAGAAGGAGTCAGTGCATTAGCATTTTCACAACTCGTATGTTATAATTTATAATGCTTGTATAATTTATTATAATAGATATTTATAATAAGAAAAAAATAAAGTAAAAAATACAACGATCAAAATACCCGGCTATATTAGAGACGTTATATATATTTTTTTTTTTATTAGGGTTAAGGCTTCGCCAACTTAGGGCATTAGCCTGTGGTACTGGAGGGGGGTACTATAGATTTGTTAACACGTGTGTGTTTTGGCAGAATTTTCGATTTGGGCACCCGTAGGTATTTGCCATGCCCGGGTGGGGGATGGCGGCACTTGTTCTACGGACACCGTGACTTGCCCGAAAAAAATGCCTTCCGCGGCCGGAAATCGATCCAGCGACGGCTGCGACGCAACCGACGCCTTAGACCGCTCGGCCACTCCATCCCCCTAGATCCATTATAGAGCTAATAATATAATTAGTTTACAAATTAATTTACAATTGAAGTCTTACATCTAATATTAAACAGATTATTTACTGCCGTTTTGCCAAGTCAAATTTCCTATACACGATGCCTTTTACAATTATTTGTTAACATTTTATTCATAAAAACATATCTAAATTATAATTATCATAAGTGTGTTTATACTAGTCAGTGACAAATTATGACTAGGTGTGAGAGAATATTACCTATAACATATTAAATAATTGTGAACTGATGATTATGATAATAATAATAATAATAATGAATATATAGTTATAACTCTTAACTGGCCATAAATACCGAACTGGTGAATAGCATAAATATATGCACCTTCCAGTATATATATGAAATTATAATAATACATAATAAAGTTCAAACTGAGCGAAAAATCTATATACCGTGACACGTGTATATAAATACAAAATAAGAGATAAAATAATTTTTAGACTGGAGGAAATTATTTATTAGCTGTCGATTGTGGAAGAGAAAAAATGTTATCTGTGTGGCAATGGCAATGGGGACATTTATTGGGTAAAGTTGCTGTAAGTATATTAATATAATTATTATTTTTTAATCTTAACCAAAATACTAAACATATTTGATTTTTAGGGAATTGTATAAAGTACAATATTAATTGTTATTTTTAATATTTTATTTTTTATCTAAAAATTGTAGACAATGCAAACTGAAGACATACTGGGTGCGTCTTTTCATCCTTTAGACGACAATTTAATGATAACTTATGGGAAAGGCCATTTGACGTTTTGGACCAGACGGAAGGATGGGTTTTTCGAAAAAATTGATATTATAAAAGCAGTAATACAATATAATATTAAAAGTTATTTTTAAAATTATTTAACCTACATTTCAAATGTTCTCATTATTAGCCTTCGAGGACGGTAGTTACGAGCTTACAGTTCGAACAAGAAGGGGACGTAATTACGGCGGATGGCGATGGATTTATTACAATTTACTCTGTAGACAGCGATGGCGCGTATTATGTCAGGATGGAATTCGAGGTTAGCTATAGTAAAATTGTTTTATGTTTCTTAAACACCCATTGCTGTTGCTTTTCCAGGCACATAACAAAAGCATAAATGCTCTTATAATGCTACCGGAAGGCACTCTATTATCCGGGGGTGAGAAAGACCGTAAAATCATAGCTTGGGATTCATTACAAAATTACAATAAGATAACTGAAACAAAAGTACGGAGTTTATGATTAAATAATAAAGGACGATTTCACTTAAAATGTATTTTATTTTAACAGTTAACTGAAGTTTATGGTGGTGTAAGAAGCCTATACCCTCAACGGCCAGGAAGAAACGACGGTAACATATACGTAGGCACAATAAAAAATCATATTCTAGAAGGATCAATGCAAAGGAGATTTAATAGAGTATGACTTTAGTAGTAATATTCAGTCAAATTGTGGTTATTATTTATAAACTTAACTATTACAGATAGTATTTGGCCATAGTAAACAATTGTGGGGATTAGCAGTCCATCCCGACGATGAACTTTTTGCTACCGCAGGTTACGATAAAAATATAAGTCTATGGAAAAGGCATGCTTTACTGTGGAGTACTCAAGTATGTACTATTTATCATAATATATTACCGTAAAATGCATTATAAATTAAATAGGTAATTATCATTATTGCTGACCAATGACTAATAATATTTAAATTTAAAAGTCGTTTGTAATTGTATTATTTTTATAAAAAAAAAACTCGAGAACTCAAAACCTATAAATTATAAAATTAATTTTATTATTTAGACAATTGTTGTTATACAAAGTATAATGTATAAATAATTTAATAAGACAATCCACTGGAAAATTTAGAATCAATATTTTATTTATATTTAAAAACAGTTTAGGATCAATGGGCTATTTAATATGCCTTTTATAGTTTACGAAAAACCTAAATGATAATAGTTGCATATTAGATTCTGAGCGGAGCGAGGAAGCTAGTGGTTTTACAATGGTGTTTCTTTTTTTAATTTTTTTTTTCCTGCATACACAATTTCTACCAGAAGGAGTGCTTCGATTTCAACATATAGTACTTTATATTTTAGTAAATTAAATCAAGATGGTACTTTAAGGAGGTCATTTTTCGACTTTCTCAATAGTTATTTAATGCCACGAGAAAAACTACCGACAAATGACGGAAAACCGCTAAAAATGGGATTTTAATTTCTAACACTTTGTTTATCACCATAGCAATGAATAAAAAATAATAATATTATAATATAAATTCAACTTCTTGGCTATAGCCTATAAATAATAAAATTAATATAAAAAATCCAGATTGACAAACAGTCTCAGCTCAGAAACGTTTTTCTTATACAATGATATTATATCATTGAATTCAAGTTTAATACAATCCATTATACATTGACCCACTCGTGACCTACTGCACAGCAAAGAGACATCAACTTACCCGCTTTTTTTACTTTAATTAAACGTATAGATAGTGTGTACCATTCAACATATTTTGACAGTAATAATGCGTATTATAATAATATTAGTATTTAATGTATTTTGTAATTTGTATGGTGGGTAGGTTAAATGTATCCCTATTTCTTTATAATGTTCGTTTGTACGTTAACGTATGATTATGTTTAGAATGACATCGATGTAAATTTGTTCTTTAACAGTTATAACTTATGTCTATATAGATCACATATGAATGTGTATCACTTACCTTTCATCCATTTGGTACGGCTCTTGTGGCTGGTTCAGTAGAAGGATATTTGGTTATCATAAATGCTGAAAACGGGTCTGTGGTGTCAAGCGTTAGAGTGTGCGGTTCTGCTTTGACGTGTATGGGTTTTAATCCAGGTAGATAATAATATATTATAATTAATAATTATACATTTATAACAGCATGTTGATATTGAGTTTTAATTATTAAACACTAAACATTTCAGCCGGAGATACAATAGCCGTTGGTTCTCAAAATGGTAGTGTATATCTGTATCGAGTCAGTAGAGACGGATTCACTTTCAAAAAATCTAATAAAATTAGAGGAGTCCAACCATTGGTGCATTTAGACTGGAGTACGGATGGAAATTATCTACAAACAGTCACTGCCGAATACGACCTCGTTTTTTGTACGTAACAAAAAAATATGAAAATATTTAGTATTCTGTATTTTGTTTATAAATTATCTACTAATTTAGGGGATGTCAAAGGATTGATACAAGAAAAAAGCGCACCTGCAATGAAGGACGTCAAATGGTATACCTATAACGCAACCATAGGCTACTTAGTTTCTGGTAAATATATTTTTTAAATTAATTTAAGCATTAACTATAAAAGTGTCAGATTTTTTTTTCAAACCGTTTATCAAAAATTTATTTGAAAGACGAAAAATAAATTTTATATCGACTTGATTAAGAGTATAAAAGTATTTAACTCAAAAGACAACTTTTCCATTGGTTATAAACTTATAAAGTATATAATTTCACGTGAATTAACAATATTAATTTCCTTGCATTCTTTATTTTATAGTTTAAATTATGTTACTATGAATTTTTATTCAATTTTTTCATGTTTTAATTTGGAATATTTATTATATGAATTATGAAGTAAGAAATTAAAAAAAAAAATTTAAAAATTAATAATTTTATCTTTATTAACAAATCATTTATTTTTATTCAAAATAACTGTACCTGAAGTCATTCAATGTACGTATACATGTCAATCGAAATACATTAATCATTTCTATTGTATTAAACATTTTATTGCTTAATTTTTTGGTCACGTTTATTTCAATGAAGTTTAAGCAAATGAACACCTGTGGATTCTGCATAGACAATATTTTGTTCATTTCTATAATTCAATATTATTTATGTTGACAGTATATTACATAAACTACTGTAAACACTAAACAGTACATACATTATTTATAAATAAATATACAATTTTTTTATGGTTTTTTTTTTAAAAATGTATCATTATATTTTAATTGTGTATGAAAATATTTAAACTTAAATCAACATAATGGAAATTATGTCGGATTCTGTTTACTTATTTGAAAATTATTGTATAATATGTCTCATAAGAACTTATTTAAAGTCGTCAGCCAATTTATATTTGGAGAGAATATAATAATTAATTTAAAAATTAACCAGTTGTTAATATTATGTAGGAACCTATTTTTTTACAATTTTGATTGTTAATGATTTTTGTTTTTGTTTCATTACAGGTATTTGGCACAACAGATATTATCCAATTTCATCAATGATAAGCACTGCCAACAGATCATCAGCCCATGATCTTTTTATAACCGGAGACACAGATGGACATCTTAGGTTATTTAGGTACCTACACAACCAAAATATATTATACCTTTTTATATTATGTGCACCTATATCATTAAACTCTTCTTTGAATCTTCTTGGCCCATTTTAATTACATTTTAAATCTGCATTAAGGTCTCCACCCACCACGACCACTGATATGGTTCGAGCTCGAACGTACCTAATGAGTCATTTAAATAAATTTTCAGGCATCCGTGTATTCTTACCAAATCCGAATACAACGAAGAAAAGGTTTATAGTGGACAAGTATCGAGTGCTAGATTTTTGTACAACGATAGAAACGTGGTGACAGTCGGTGGAACGGATGCGGCTCTTATGCTATGGGATGTCATAGAAGATTAAGTACAAAACCGCTTTACAAACTTTAATTTTTTTTTGTCTCGAGCACAATTCGAATTCTTAATCAATTTTTTTACTACGACCTGGTGTCGGCGTGATGAGATCAGAAAATGAACGTGGATGGATAATAAATAAATAAATGATATTAAATTACCAGCATTTAAATACCTGCCTATACCTTAACGTAAAGTGCGCCAGAAAAAAAATATTAAAACGTCATGAAACTGTTTTGACTTATTTCCAAAACATAATATAGGAAAGTTACCGTTTTAGAAAATATAATAAAAAGGTTCACGACCATAATTTTTTATTATGTATACATATTATATAATATACTTACGATTTTTGTTTGTATCACTGCTTAATTTTATAGTAATGCAATTTGATATTCTTTCAGCGAGCTAGATATATTATTCGTGATCTGTGATTATTAATATATATGTTTATATAAATATGTTTCTTATTACCTATATTCAGATTATTTTGCTGATATCGGTTCAGATCGTTTAATGATCTGAAAATGTTGGTTTATTAGTACAAACTATACAGACACATCTTCACTATATCAATATCATAACCACACTGCCTGGCATAGATATAATAATATTATATTTAATTTGTATGTTTTATAGGTAACTTATATAATATTATAGTATAATTATTAAAAAATAAATGTAATAATTTTGAAACTTTAGACTTGTTTTCATTTATTATCCTTTCATTTATTTTAGTGCATTGAAATTATACAAATATTCATTGCGTTAACTTATTATTTGCTTAATACAAGTTAATACAATTCCAAAATTATTATTTCTCTATTGAAAATAATGTTTTTGAAAGTTGAAAAATAAATTAAATACGTTTTTGAAAAATCATCTCATCTATGACTAATTACAAATAATATAAATACTTGTATACAAATAAAACAAACATAAAAGAACAAAGGTAAAATATGATTTTAGTATTTCAAATATTATAATGTTTGGCAAATTAAACTTGAATTCATGACAGACAGTGTCTGACAATACATAATAAATTAACAAAATTGTAAACAAATCTTTACATGGAGTTTATCAAGTGGAAAGAAAACATATAATTGTATATAAAAATATATAATCTAAGGAAAAGGCGTACAGGTACAAGGTACATAGGAAATAATTATATTATGATATTATTAAAAAGTGCGAAAGAAAGAACGCGCATAAAACAATATAGAAAATACAATGTCTCTTAATTATTTAAAGTCGTAAATAAGAAGAGCGTAATATATACTATAAAATCTTTGGTAACATATAAATGTATATAAAATATTACGGGTGTAATAATAATATATTCAAGAGTCGAACACGAAATCCCGGTAAATACGTTTGAGAACGGTACGATTGAGAATGGAATTTTTGGTAACACGATTGAGAACGCTCGATATTTTATTTTTTTTCCATTTATATAAATGATAATTTAAGCACGATAATTTGTTGATATTGAATTAGCAATATATTATGTTAATTGTTGTTAAAATTCTAACTGAAACTCAAGCAGAAACAATATTGAAAATAGCTACGATATTAGAGTCAATGTACTAATAATAATATGTCTATGCCCTATGACAATAGCCAATGAATCGCGGACGTTTGGCCAACGCCGTTTCATCCCCGTCTATTATTAAGATAGGACATTTGGCCCCAAGGAGTTCATATTATCGCCAAATGTCCTATCTTAATAATAGACCGGGACGAAAAGTCCGTGGACTCGCTTTTTTGACAGGGACAAAACGATGGGGGTGAAACGTCCTTTAACCATAGCCAATAGGTTAAGTAGATTTGGGGTCTTAGATGATCTAAAAATGTTAGTAATTACTAATTACTAATGATCTATCAATATAAATAATTTGTAAAAATTTGTAAAAATTATTGAAGTATAACGAATACTACCTATTATATTGATGACTTTTTTACGAGAATATTTATTTTATGCATACGGGCATGAACCTCTCAATAGCCAAATAAACGATATGGCAACGTTGCACGTAAATTCGTTCTCAATCGTATTCTTTTTTGGGTTTTTTTTTGGGTCAGCGGTAAGTTCTTTGTTATTTTTAAGTGTTCTCAATCGTTCAGCCAAAAAGGTATAACGTTCTCAATAGTTCGATAGCCCAAAATCCGAGTCATCTGTCCCCCGTGATAAAATTATTTGACAGCCACTGAAGCTATAGTTATAGAGAGTAGGTACACAAATTAGCGGAAATGCTAAGATGGTGTCTTTTGTCTTATTTTTTAAAAAAAGAACGACAGTATAATATATGGGTAATGAACAATTTTTAAATTTAAATACGAGATATCACATACGTTTTTCTGGTTCTATGTCGTACATAATATAACGGAATAATTCGCGAAAGTCACACAAAGTATAATTAAAGGTACCAATATATATAACTTCGTTAGAGCCACAAGTTGTACAATTTAATATAATAATATGTAATATGTAAATACACTTTGTACGAAATGCATGACGTCGCATTCGTGCAATATGTAACGAGGGTAACTAAATACCCAACACCGCAGCTTAGGGGTTCCATCATTCGATATTTGTTTACTAGCGGTATCGGCGGTACTAACGCCAGTTATACGGAATTTTCGGTAATATTACCTTAAACACTGTACATAAGCAATTACCAAAAATACGTATCTCGGCCATCAGGGTATATTTATGGTGCCTAAATCTAAAGCAATCTCTCCGTCCTAGGATATTTAATATTTATTTTAAAAATTATGTTAGCAATTATTGGCTAAAAAAAATGTCACAAAATATTTTATTAACACTGTGGTGGAAAGGGGTGTAGTGTTGCAATAATAAAAAAGGTTCTAGTTCTACAAACCGTTCTAGATCAGTGGTTCCTAATGTTTTTGAAGTCGTGATCCATCATATATAGCTTACGTCCTTGCAAACAATGACTACAGACAATTTATGTCCATATATGGTTTAAACTGCACTTCACCAAAAAATAGATTTGTAAAATATATCATACGGGCAGGTACTCTTTATACCGAGAACAGACATGAATACGTTATTTTTGGTAATCACCTTGGCATGGTAACGACCGAATTACGGTATACCGGTGTCCGGTATAGTCAAATACCAAATATACCGGATACCGAATTTATACACAATACCTGGTAATTACCGGTATACCGAAAAATCCGCCAGCCCTACTCCAACTGCAGTATAATGTATCTGGGACTTATCGAGGATGGTTGTCACCAGGGCCTCCACATGTTCGGGTCAGAATCGGGACCGTCGCACGGTCTGACTGCGGCGGCCACGGCCTCCGGCCTGCGGACACGCGCGGGCGTAGCGCCATCACCGCTTGACGCCGCCGTCGTCGATTGCTTGTGCGAGGACGACGCGGCGGCAGTAGGAACGTTTACCGGTATATCGCCCAGGGGCCTCTTGTTGCTGCACCCGGCCGCCGTTTTTTTCATTGAAAAATCAAGTGGTGGGTGCTGCAGGGATGCGGCTGCGGCGGCCATGTCTTCGGCCCACGAGCTGGTCGACGACACGTCCGGTTCGTCACAATACACGAAAGGCGTCGGACCAACATCCTGTGGCGGGAGCTGACCATGTACGGCCGTGAACGCGCTCGTCCGTAGACGGCCGGCTTTCGGGATGGACGGAGGCGGGACGGTCGGTGGGATGATAGGGAGCGTCAAGTCTCCCAACAGCGGCTGCTGCAGGACCGGTCGACTGCTTGGCATCGGGACCGACGCGGCCGCTGCCAATGCAGCCGCCGCCGCTTGGTCGAGTCGATGGTGCAACGAGTAACTATTGTTCACGTGTGGACGCGGCGGGGGCGGCGGTGGCGGCACTGTGCCAGCGGCCGCGGCGACGTACCTCATTTTGGCCACGCACGAGTCCAGGTGCGACATCAGCCTCTTCTTGATGTCTTCGTCCACCCCGTCCAACCGGTCGACGAACCGGTTCACCTCGCCGGCGCACTCCTGGTAACCCGTCTGAAACTTTTGAACGACCACCGCCGTTAAGGCTGCGGTTGACGACGAAGGCGACAACTGTTCGACCGTCGGACAGGCGGTTGGGGCCAGTGGTCGGCTGGCGTTGCCATTCCGATGCAACGACTGCAGGTGTCGCACGGTCATTTCTAGGATGTCCGCTTTTTCCAACTTTGTGTGTCTTGCTGGCTACAATTATAACAATATTTTCAATATTGACATATTTTACCATGTTCACATGGGTAATAATGAGAGACCGGAATTATATGCACTAAAAATGTCCTATAAATATGAAGCAGATATGTATGGTAAAAATTACAAAATATACACTATATGCATTAAAACATGTACCAAATTCATAAACATAAATACCTAGCAGGATAATAGTAAGCCAGGGTAAACTAAAAGTCCACCATATAAACCATAGACCTTAGTTAATAGGTCTATGATATAAGCCATGTTAAGTAATCTATTTTCTTTGATAAAAATAAAGAAACCTAAAAAAATATTTTTCCTTAATTATGAAATATCATTTATGATTATCTAAGATTTTTCTATGATCATTAATTCTCGTCTTAGTTGTAAAGAAGAAAAGAGTTTATTTATTTATTCAGAGTGTATAAAATATGAAAATGATATTATGGTTTAAAGTTTAAAAACAAATGCATCAATATATGTTAAATAAAATTAGGTCCATGAAATCAGTTAAATTTGAAACGCCCACATTTTAAGCCCTCATAGTCGTGCATAGACTCTCTGTAATGTGTGTACTTATATATGCAAATACATATAATTCCTTTCTCAAGTTATAATATAATAATATGGGTATAACCAGGGTTTCTCTAGCTGGAGATTAGGCCCCTGACCCAGTAATGTTTAATATGGGCCACAGCCTCCAGCCCCCGACTCTCCATACGAGATTTTTTTTTAAATTTAAGTATCTTTCAATAGATAAAATTATTTTGTTTCAATTAAAAAATTATTTATTGCTTAATAAATGGATCCCTATTTCCCTTGGTCATCGCATCACGCGTGAACGGCTATACCGATTTCGCTAATTATTTTTTTGTTGTGTTCTTAATTTTCAGGAGAAGGTTCTTATAATACAATTTTAGGAAAATCCACCGAAAAAGTAGAAAATTTGGATGTCAACAAATACAACAGTGGCGCCATATGTCCAGAAGAAAAAACTAAATAATAAAAAATTTAGTTGAGGATTAAAATAATTATGGTGTATTGTATTTTGCTTGCTATTGGTTAAGGGTATCTTTGTTGATTCGTATTATTATTTTTTGTCAATATATGTATATATATATATATATATATATCTTCTAACTATATAAATGTGAAATGAAAATCTTTTTATAGGGTAAACTCTGGAACTACTTATCAGATCTTCTTAATTTTTTTTAAACGAAAGAGTATATCACGGAGAAGGTTTTTATGAAAGAAAATTTTAGGAAAATCTACCGGAAAAGTAGAAAATCTGGATGTCAAAAATGCAACAGTGACGCAACTGGTTAGGTTAGGATTTTGTATTAATTGATTATATTAATCCACCGTAGGTAGAATATGACAAACTTGATATAACTTTGATACTTTAGAGTTAAATCATACACTTACATAACAAGCAGCATGGGGTTCGCGATCTACCGCAGGTAGATTGCCTACCCTATACCTGATAATATAGTGCTGAGAATCAGAATTTTTATTCCGGGCAACGGGAAAATTAAGATTAATTTTAAACACCATTCACCGAATATTAAATAACGAACTGAATAAAGTTTGAGTCATATAGAGTTGGTACATTTAACGGGCAACGAAGTGCACGGGTTCAGCTAGTTATATTATAAATTATAGTTTAAAAAAAATATAATCAACAATGATTTATTTTTTTTTTTTACAATTTGTACAAATAAAAATAAAACAGAACAAAAATGCATGTCAAACACCATTAATATTAAAATTTAATAATATGTTTAATATATTATAAATCATTATCAAAATAATGTGTTTTTAAATTTATTTCTAGTAGATCCTGACATATTAATAATGTAATTTTTGTTTACAAATTATCATTTCTTCTAACACAAGTAAATTTAAGAATCCCTTCACTCTCCTTACGAAACGTCGCTCCCTTTGCAGTCCCATTATACTCCACTAACTACGCTCGTAAGTCGTAACCACTCAATTCACCCCATGATGCGTCTTGCAAATGAACACTCTTCTAATCTCACATGTAACCCTGTTATGTAATTATTGGTTTTTATTTTCAATTTCTTTAATGTAGAATGTCAAATAGACAGAAGTTAAAATTGTATCTACCTATTATTATTATTATTGTTATTACTATTTTAACACTGTTATCTTATAAGTATATTGTGTATTGGACTTATTATGTGGCCATTAATAAAATAATATAAATAAGTTGACCAATGTATTTTTTAACAAACAGACAAAATAAGGATCCAGATATTGTTGGCTTATGTTATTTCAGTTTTTACAATTTGAAATTTTCAAAATACTCGTTCACACTTAACTATACGTACAAAGACGTATTTGCATGCTATGCAATATGTGAAAACCAGCCGTTGTCGGTAGTTTTAAAAGAATTTGAAAGTCCCACTCACCATTCATAAATAGCTAAAATATACATTTTATCATCTTACTATGACCCATATGACTATTCCCCCTCCCCCCCCAAATAATAACAAATATCCAAGGGCCTCCAACAATCACCGTGTAGCGCCAGACCGACACAGCAGGGTATGACTAAAACTCATTTTTATTATCATAGGTAGACGACAATATAATACGGCGAAGTCAATCTGTCATACTATGAATAATCTCGTGGGCAACAAAAATAATTAGTAAGTTAATAGTTAAACAAAAAAATGTTGTTAAATAGAAGTGCGTTATATGAAAAGTTCACTGTATTAAATATTACGTGTTTACGTGCCTAAAAAATTTCTTCCATCAGCTGTAGCATACAGTCTACAAAGGTACCCAAACGTGATAAATATTTTAGAAATAATCTTATCGAACTATGTTCGCCATTCATGGTATATGTTTTGTTTTTCATTTTAATAATTTCATTAAAATTCCATAATATATAGATATTTATGTAAATCGCATATATTGTATATTATTATAACTGTATAGGCAAAAACTTGAAACCAATGTACTTTAAACATATATGTTTTCCATATCTAACTATATACAGTAAGATTTCTATTCCTTGATGATTAAATCTTATAGGCCATGTCATTCCCTCAACAAATCACTCTACTCGTCACATTGTGGAATACAAATTGACAGCAAAAACGTTACGATATTACACGATGATACCAAATTCAGTAGAAAAAACAAGAATATATCGAGAAAAATAACGGGGACATTACAAAAGAAACAATACAATAATAACCTAACGTCGACAATTGAATGTTTACTACAATATTATAATCAAGAGAGCGTATAATCCTTGAGATCAAACAATTTATTTTTAAGATCGTGGTAACATTTTAAATGGAATATTATTACACAATATATTAATATTATGTTTTTCTGTTTTTTACCTACCCATATTCAACAAATAATATTTTTTTATTCTGCTTATGTCGGAGTATGGAAAATTATATATTATACTGTTTGGTATAAATTTATGGTTAAAACTAAAAATGTATATACCATCAATTATTATTCATTATAAATATGCATTTAAATAGATATTATAAATCATTGTTTTAAGATATCGAAAAATATGTGCTAAAATAAACAGTAAAAATTTGGCTCATAAAAACGATTGACTGACGATACAATATCAACTTATAAAATATAAACTATGAAAATATTTTATTAATTAAAAACGATAAAAATAATGTAGTTTGTTATGGCTATTGACGAAATATGATAAAAAATTAATTAGATAAGAAGTTGGTTGAAAAACACGATATGGGACAAAATAAACTTAAAGAATACTCAAATTACCTACCTACTAAATGTATACGAGCCCAATTAATAAGATAAGTATAAATTATTATTAATATTTTTAAGATAATATTACTAGGTATCCACATTTCATCATATTATACCTGATACCGTCTACAAACTACAAACACAAACAAAGTATGTTCCCACTATTTTATATTATTTACTATTTAGAATACTATCGTAGTGATTCTCATTACCTACTCATGTTAATATAGTATATGTGTTTGTTTTTTATAGATATAACATATGTATTATTGTAATTATATTGTAAAATTATAATAATTAGCTTACATCTTTTTTCAGTGCATCCAATATAAGTGTTTTCAGTTCGTTCAAACACTGATTGATTCTGGCTCTCCTTTTTTTCTCCATAATTGGTTTATTGTTCTAAAATAGTAAAAATACTAAATTTAATTTTAATATAATACGCTAAATGTTAATTTGAATAATTTTGAATTAAAAAAATTTATTTCCAATCAAATTTAATTTTTAGCTTTTCAGTAATCTAATCAAAATAAAGTGTAAGTAAAGTTCAACAAGTTTCATTAATTTCAGCTTATAAAACCTCTCCATTACGCGGTATTTATCAGTATTATTTAATTATTATATTTGTATATTCATAAATCATAATACTTATATGTTTTATTAAGTATATTTTGATACAACATATAAAATAATAAATGTTTTAATGGTTTTAACTGTCTTAATATATATTTTTCTCATCACTAATTATTATTATTTTTATTGACTATATTTGTCAATATAACTATAATATAATATAGCATAAAAATTAATTTAAAGAATAATATTAAATTACGAATTAATAGTAAAATCTCTATTTTCCGAGACCAGTTGAAAGTATTCATATTATAATATATTGTTAATTTGCACAACTTCATAGCAATTAATTAGCAATATTATAACAATTGCATAGTTAAATTAATGAAAGACTCAATACAGAATTATTTTCCAACTTAAAACAATAATCTCAGGAGTAGTAAAAACTGATTTCGCCCCTAATGAATTTTAAAGGTATTTACAATCTATTGTCAAAATTCAATTTAAATAACATAATTACTATATTTAAATAAAATTATATAAAAAAAATGTATTGCCTACTATTTATTTCTATGTATAACTAACCAAAAACAATCTGCGATGATATGTTCCTTTTAAAATTTAATATTGTAAAATGTAAATAACTCGAGAAATTAATATATTTTGTTCGCACATATTATAAACGTAGACACGTAGTTATACACTAGTATTATTATTTACCTTTCGCAACTCGGATTTCGAAAGCTCGTAACGTCTGGGCTGGCCGGGGGATGACATCCCCGACGAATGTACCCTCGGATCGTCGTCTTCTGAGTCATTGTTCGTCGATGACATAATATTATTGTCTTACCTATGTTTTCGTCTGACGAGCGGCACAAGGTGTACAAAAACGGCACGGCGGTGTCGCACAAAATTATACATCGGAAGTGTTTCTACCGGCGGGTTTCACGTGTGTCCGTCGGCGTACCGTCGGAAAAGCGAAAATCGAAAAAATCGTCCGTTTTCGGCCTGTTACGCTCGCACTGATCTAAAACGCCGACAAAAGCGAACCGGTCCATACTGCTCGGTTATTTCAAAACATAATGGCACGGGGCGCACGGTTGCGCGAGTTCCCACGTTGTGCACGCGTGCAACAATCGCCGCGATTGTGGTGCCGCACAATCGCTGCGATAACTATACAATATATATATATATATATCATCGTTATGCGCGCGTACCTTGCGCATAATAATATTCTCTGTATACCTATATATTATTTATAATGCTCTGTACTCCGATATAATATTATAATAAGTGATAATGAGACGAGCGTATCCCACCCGCTCCGCGTACGCACCTACCAATAACGTCATAATTATATAGGTATTATTATTATTATTATTATAGATACGCCATTCATATTATTATTAATATTCGTAACCTAACAGGCTAACTGATGTTACGGCTTACTCGGGTAACGCTGCAGCTTTTACAACTCGATATTCATTCTTAGGACGCCTACGAGTCGGTATTCCTTGCAATTACCGTATCGGTTCCCGTCTAGTATATTGGAATTCGTCCTTATACATCATTCAGGCGAATTGGTTTCCCCATCGCCGAGTGATTTACACGTAACGTAGTAGACACTGTGGGGAGGGGAGGGGGTTAAACCTCCCCTTACAAAATGGAAAGTATATAAATGTATTTACAAACATTTAAAACTATACCAACGTATTTTCAAGTATTTTTATAATGTAAAATTATTATCATAATCCCCCCCATATTAAATGCATGTCTATGGCACTGATTTAACATACGAATTGGGTCCGACGAACTTTCATTTTAATAGTAAGACTGCATTTTAAAATTTACTTTGTCACCCATGATTGAAAAATAATTGTATATTACACCGAGAACTAAGTCACACGTGACACGTTAGTGTGGTAAATCAAATTATATATTATATCAAATAATAAGCAATAGGTAAACTATAGATACCTATTACGTATTTTCCAATACTGATAATAATAAAAATGTATCTATTACTATAATAGCAGTCTAACCGAATATCAAATAAGTCGAAGTTAATAATTAAGATAAACAGGTAATAAAAAAATTAAAAAAACAATGTGGTATACATAATTTATTTACAGTGTTTAAGTATCTTTTTTAGATAGTGAAAAAATATTTGGGTGGGCAGAATAAATGTCTGAATTAAGTTTATAAGTTTTTATTAACAATACTAGTTAATAGTTACTACTATGTAGTTTGTTCTGAAGTAGATGAAAACTCTGCTCATATTTTAGGTGGAAATCACAGTCATTGGAAGATCTTAACAATATATTAGGTAGTTAAATAGTTATTTCCTTTATTTTTACGTATGAGAAATTGAGAACCAATTTGAACAGTGATAATTATCACTTAAGTCTTAAGTAATGTATATCGAGAATCAATTACTACACCTTATTTTAAACAGGGAATCAATTCCGTATTTCTCATTCATCATATTAAATTGTATAACTCTATACAACGACACCATGTAATCATAATTATTATATAATTTTAAACTTTTTTTTGTGTGTGTGTTTTCGTTAAATTTGGAGTTTATTTTTATGTATAGTAAATTGTAAATTATAGCATAATAATATACACTACGCCCACAAGCTATAATATATTATATATAATTATTCGATCGGCAAACTCCGAAGCCTTGGAACACCCTAATCTCGAAATGTGAGATAAATATGAAACTCTTCCAAGTTTTGACTAAACTAATCCGCTAGTGCGCTACATATACAAATGGATAGTTGTATGAATCTGTGATATATTTATTGAAATCTAAACATTTCAAACGTAATAAAATTGTAATTTTTAGAAATATTTATAAATATATAGCAGAGTTACAAAACTTTTATTCTAGGTGAACAATCCATCTACGTGGAGTATAATTATTAATTTAATAATTAATACCCAACAATACTATGATTTTAACTTGTAATATATGCGCCAAAATTATAAATTCGCTTATGTTTTGAGTTGGCGCAAACAATTTGACGTGTATAAGTTATTGAATTAATGTGTTTAATTTTGTGAGTTGATTATAGGTATACCTAGGATAAATTCATTGAATATTTCAATATTTGTATAACCCGTTGATAATTAATTCAATTATGTTTTAATAACCCCACATTCATTGAAGTTATATATTATATGTATAGATATATAGATAATATATATATTATGAGTAAATATAAATTAAAATAACGTTTTTAAACATAAAAGTAAATCAGAGAAGTTTTAATAGTTTTAATCCTACCGACACTTGACAATTAAATTAAAAATTTTTTGTTAGGTTTATTATCTCTCTAATATAATATGTAATTTTATTTTTATACTATAATCATTCAATTAAAAGTTAAATTCGTGTTTTGACTATTTTTTTTTTTGTTCTTGGTTCGTTCATTCTCCACTTCAGACAAAAGCGTTTTTAGTATTATTTTGTTTTAAATGTACTTTACCCGCCTTGTGTGTACAATGTACCTATATATACGTTGAAATATAGGTATATAATATTATTATAAAAGAGCTGTGACTTTTTGTCGTATTATTATTATTATTATTATTATTACACAGCAAGCGAGATTCAAAGGGTACATTTAATGACGGCGTACCTATACACCATAATAATATGTATACGGATTAAAGTAGTTCTTGTAACGCGATGACGACGACGACGACGAGCCAAAAAACCACTCCGCCGCGCGAGGGTATAATAATTGCAAAATATGGCAACCCGCCTACTGTGCGACCCCGAGACGAACAAAACACATATTGTTATGCCCACGGCATATATATTATGTTTTGTTCGTCTTTTGTATAATATTTTCTTTCGCCCCTTTCCGTATAGGTACTTTTATTAAAATATATATTATAATGTAGGTAGGTAGGTACACAAAATACAACGGGAGAAGATCACATAATATTATAATATACACAATACACAGCGGCGGCACAATTTTTATTCGCCGTTAACTGTAATATTACGTTGGCGCCACATATCACACGTACTTATATATATATATATATAAACGTACACACCATTATCACTCTATATCGCCATGTCCAGGTAAACATTGACGTAATACACGTCGACTTATTGACCAACTTATACAATAAGCTTGCGTTGCGCATGAAAGAGGCCGAGAAAGAGTGTGTGTGTGGTGTGTATGTAGGTAAGCCTTTGTAAACGTTTGTACCAGCTGTAATCGATTTTGGATATTATTTAATGTGATAAACGTATAATAGTCATCGTTTATATAGACGACTTTAGTCTGTCGACACACGCACTTTTTTGTCATTTAAATTCGTGTATTATGATAGTTTTAGTAGACGTTCGCTACTAGGTTTCCAAAGATTTTTTAATAATAATTGTCGACTTTATGGATCCGTTATAAATATTTATAAGCAAACGCATTTTTAGCGGTTATATTATATTATAATATTATATTGGCATATCAATGTTGACAAACATTTTCATGTGCATACGACTTTTTGAGATCAAAATCCAACAACAACAATTATAGTAATCACACCGCCACTTTTATCACTACTGTAGGTATAGCTGCTGGCGTGTAAGGGGGTGTGAATTTTTTCAACGAATAGATATTGATTAAAACATATATTACCATGTGTGCAGCGAGTGTGTTTCCTAGCTATTTCGTGTTTATAGTTGCTGTTGTATATAATATACCCTATGGTCTGCCGTAGTTGGGGAAAAAACGGTTTTTCGAAAACGCGAATTTCGTAACGGTCTCGCGCGATACGATCGTCGAATACCCTGCAGCAGCTCCACCCGCAACCCACCCGCAATTTCTAACGAAATACCCTCGCTTATTACAGGTCCTGCGGGCGCGGTGCAGGTACAACAGATGCCCACCCCCCGCACCGCATGCGTGCACCTACATGATGATAGGCATTAACGCGTGGGGCGGGGGTGGCGGCGGCGGCCGGCGCACACGTTCCGGTGCGGAGTCAACGTGAGAGATCCGCGGCCGAGTTTCCGGTCCACAAATCTTCCCTCAGATAACGGGCGCGCCGCGTGTATAATTGCATTTCCGTCGTCGGTCGGTCAACCGGCGACTCTATCGTGTGTGTGATGTGACGTGTGTGTGTGTGTGTGTGTGTGTGTGTGTGTGTGTGTGTGTGTCCGGATACCGTGTAAGCCGACGATACACATATACAGTAGGTACAATAATAGATGATAATACGCGGTAACCTCTGTATATATAAGGTAGCGGGCATATAAATGGGGCGATAGGTTAATTACTCCGAGGGATGTCTATTATATTATTATAATTCCGACGCACATGTTGATTCGTGTGCGTGTGTGTATAGGTATATATTATTGTATATATCGAATATATGTTATATACATGTATATATATACACACACTGATATACTGACGGGCGACCGTCGACGTCCGTGGGAACCGGACCGACAGCTAGTTTCAGTATATATGTAGTATGCACTATGTAGTATAGTACCTATAGACTATACTACTATAGTATATAGGTATCTGGTATAGTGCGTAGTTGTAGTACCGTATATTAATGGTGGTGGTGGCAGCGGTAGTGCAGTATACTATTTATGACCGAGTGGACTGTACGGTGAGAAAGAGTGGAGGGGGGAGAGGGGAGGGAGGTTGATATAATATCGTTAAACGCGCGATAACGTACATATACTACGTAGGTATAATATATATATGGTATAATATGTATGTGTGTGTATAGGTTTATATCTGTCAGGTATTATAATATATGTGAGGTAGTCGTTGCGCGGTCACCTGTTCTCTGAA